CATATTTTATAAACTTAGTGTGTCTCTCTGGTTCTCCCTTTTTCTTAACCCCCTTTCTTTTTTTTCCCAAAGATAACATTTGAATCCAGGAGAAAGCTACATAACATCATGATATTTGCATGACACTGGCACCTGGTGAGGTATTTCTTACCAGTTGGTCCCTGGATGTTGACTTCTATCTCTCCAGGAATTTTTGCAGTGTAATATGACTCCTGTGGTCACTGTATCATAGAGGGCCTGGGTCTCCCTGCCCCAGCTCCGTTTTCTGTTTGATGTGTTAGCACACTCTGCTGAGTTATATGATTTCCTCCAACAAGCCATCAATTGTAGTAGTGTCTCTTAATACAAAGTCCCTTTTTAAATTTTTTAAATATATATTTTATTGCATTTTATGTTTTGGGGTACATGTGAAGAACATGCACGATTGTTGCATAGGTACATACATGTCAGTGTGGTTTGCTGCCTTCCTTCCCATCACCTATATCTGGCATTTCTCCCCATGTTATCCCTCCCCAACTCTCCACCCCCCACTGTCCCTCCCCTAGTTCCCCTTAACAGACCCATGTGTGATGCTCCCCTCCCTGTGTCCATGTGTTCTCATTGTTTAACGCCCGTCTATGAGTGAGAACTGCAGTGTTTGATTTTTGTGTCAGTTTGCTGAGAATGAGGGTTTCCAGGTTCATCCATGTCCCTACAAAGGACACAAACTCACTGTTTTTGATGGCTGCATAGTATTCCATGGTGTATATGTGCCACATTTTCCCTGTCCAGTCTATCATCGATGGGCATTTGGGTTGGTTCCAGGTCTTTGCTATTGTAAACAGTGCTGCAGTGAACATTTGTGTGCATGTGTCCTTATCATAGAATGATTTATAATCCTTTGGATATATACCCAGTAATGGGATTGCTGGGTCAAATGGAATTTCTGTTTCTAGGTCCTTGAGGAATCGCCACACTGTCTTCCACAATGGTTGAACTAATTTACACTCCCACCAAGAGTGTAAAAGTGTTCCTATTTCTCCACATCCTCTCTAGCATCTGATGTCTCCATATTTTTTAATGATTACCATTCGAACTAGAATGAGATAGTATCTCAATGTAGTTTTGATTTGCATTTCTCTAATGACAAGTGATGATGAATATCTTTTCATATGTTTATTAGCCTCATATATGTCTTCTTTTGAAAAGTGCCTATTCATATCCTTTGCCCATTTTTGAATGGACTTGTTTTTTTTCTTGTAAATCTGTTTTAGTACTTTGTAGATTCTGGATATTAGCCCCTTGTCAGATGAGTAGATTGCAAAAATTTTTCCCGTTCTGTTGGTTGCCGATTCACTCTAATGATTGTTTCTTGTTCTAAAACAAAAAACCCTTCTTGTTCTTGAGCTCTCTCAGCACTTGTCTATCTTGGGGACTATGGATTTCAGCTGTCTTTTCTGCCCTTCATTGCAGCATGACAGACCCCCGTAAAACTGCTATGAAGTCCAAATATCTGGACATTTCCCTCCGTACTGCGCACTCTGTTTCACCCATGACATGTTACATAATGCTTTAGCTGCCTCCAACAGCCAAGGATTTTGAATGAAACCAGGACAATGAAGTCTAAGCTCAAAAACCCACTTTATCTTCTCTTCCTGGATCCCTTCTCTTGGTTGTAGGAAATATTTCTCCTCTTTCCTGTGTGTTCCAATGGAAGTTCCATGAAAAACAATCTTCACTCTGAATAAATATTGGATTGTTGCAAATAAAAAATGCTTGACTTTTGTTTATTGCACAGCTAAGGATGTTAAAAAGGACCACTCTGTATTTCAATGGCAAGCACTGACTTTCTCGATTAGTACTTTTTTGCATTAAGGTGGTGGCTATCCTTTTTTAATTTAAAACAACTTAAAAAAATTGTTTCTATCTCGTGCCCTATGCTAAATGGTGAAAGGGTTCAGGGGGTTGAGAGAAAATAGAGTACATAACTGTCTAAGAAGTGACATTTCAAAACAATACATTTTACTGTCTATAAACAATGTTGGTAAAAGGAAAATTTATACAAACAAGTAAAATGTTAAAACACACAGGCACAGATACATGTATCTCCTTGGACTCAGAGCTAACCATTCTGAAAGCAGTGAAGCTGCATTTCAATAAATGAAATGATATTATAGATATAGCTGGCAGTAAAAATGATAGAATTAAAATTTACTTCAAAGTCCCTTGCCTGTGTATTAAATAAAATCCAGATGATTTTATATACTACCATGAACAGTAATATTTTTAGTAAATGTATAATATTTGTATAATAAATTTTACGTTGGAAATGTATTCTTATAGGATTTGTGTCTTTACATAAAAATGTATGCATAGCTGTATTTTGAAAGACCCCTGTATGTATGTTGGGACTGCATTGTATTATGTCTGTATAAGAGCCATGACTTCTACTGCATTCTCCCACATCTTCCTTCCTTTTTTTTTTGCTTTTACCTGATTCAGTATATTGACATTTACTTGTTCTTAAATGTTAAGATTTTAAAAATTTTCTCTATTTTTCTTCAGGATATTAAATAAAACAAAATTTAATTGCTGTATTTTACTTATGCAGGCAAAGACTATAATTGCATATAGTCTGTGAATAATTGCCTATAATTTATTAACTTCTATCATTTCAACTTCTTAAAGGGCCAATTAAGTGATCTCCCAAAGAATGTTTCTTACCATTTCCTTTAGGATGTATTAAAACACAGCCCAAATCTTTCATATGGCCTCAGAAACCTAACACAAATGATGATTCAATGATTAGGTGTCAGATTCTTTCTTAAAGTAGATATACTTATGATGTAATATTTTCTTCCCTATCTCTATCCAGAGCCAATACTTAATTTGTGCTTTCATGTTCCTAAGCTTTTTTATGATAGGTAGTATAAGTGTTGAAGATAGAGAATTGAAAACATTCAGAAAAAGAGGATAGAACCATTCTAAGTAAATCTAATTCTATTTAAAAATTTTTAAATCTCTTGAAGATCAGAGGAAAGCAGGGAAGGAAAAACTGGAAGATAGGGAGATAGAAATATTTAGATAAACAGTGACTGAGAGTTTAGAGGTGAATATGAGAAGCAAAGACCAAAAATGAAACTTTGGGGAGAGAGGAAGAAGTTTAAACAGGAAGTTCAGAAATGCCACCATGAATTTAATGATGACATATGATTGACTACCACTGTTATTTTGTTATTTTATTATTTGTCGATGCTTTCAAATTTTGGCCACTTTTGGACCTAAGATTATGATTAGACTAATTCTGTACATTCTACTCACAGAAGAAGAAAAAAAGGAGGAAGAAGCATAGAAAGTAGAATGGAAAGAAGGAGGAAAGTCACAGCAATACCTAAAACCAGGGTCTGCAATGTTTTCATTTTAAGAGCTGATCTTTATATTAGTGAGAAAACATACTTAAATATCACAAGTGGGTAAATTGTTGTTTTTAAATTTCATGACTTAAGCAATTTCCCATGTATTCTGTTTTTCTAAACATTCTGACTCCTCTTCACATAAAGGGTTCAAGAAATTTTTAAATACAGTTTTTAACGTGTTTCGATAGTGTCTTTGAACAGCTTTAACACCTGATCTACATCTCTCTGTAAAGGACTTTAAGATGATTTCTCTCACGATATTTTAAATAGTAGTTTATGATTTTAGGTAGATGTTCTGGTTTTCACTACAACTATTCTTTTTTGTTGTGTGTTCCCTGAAAGAAGATTATGAATTCCCACTCTTTCATCTACCTGGCAATTAAATTGGCCATAAAAGCTAATGCGATTCATCTAACTTTTGCGTGAAAAATATATTTTCAAGGAGTAAAGATTATAAAGATCTTTATGACTACTTCTTTTACTTTCAGGGAAAAAAAGGAAATATATTGCTCATTTCAAAAATTCAATTCAGGCTGGGCGCAGTGGCTCATGCCTGTAATCTTATGCCACTGTAGTCCAGCCTGAGTGACAGAGCAAGACTCTGTCAAAAAAAAAAAAAAAAAATTCAATTCAGTAATTTTAGAAAATAAATTTCATGACAAATTAAAGAAAATAATTCACTCCTCTTTTTATTTTGACTAAAAAATGGAAAACCACTGACATTTGACTGCAATAATGATTTAAAAATTAAGCTGGACCAGGCACGGTGGCTCGTGAGTGTAATCCCAGCACTTTGGGAGGCCAAGGCGGGCAGATCATCTGAGGTTGGGAGTTCCAGACCAGCCTGACCAAAATAGAGAAACCCTGTATCTACTAAAATAACAAAAATTAGCCAGGCATGGTAACATATGCCTGTAATCCCAGCTACTCGGAAGGCTGAGGCAGGAGAATCTCTTGAATCTGGGAGGCAGAGGTTGTGGTGAGCTGAGATCACACCATTGCACTTCATCCTGGGCAACAAGAGTGAAACTCCATCTCAAAAAAAAAAAAAAAATTAATAAGCTGATTCCTGCCCAGAAAATGCTTCTTCCAATGTAGTTCTGGCTACAGTGTGGAATATCTGTCTCCTTTCGGTACACCTTGAATGATTTCGACTCTAAAAATCCAAGTTACACCCAAGATTCCATTATCCTGTGGTTACTCATTTAGACCACAGACATGTAGGACCTGTCTGAAAGAAATACAGGGATCAAGTGGAACTCAGCCAGTGAATCATCGCTATGATGTAGTGAAACCTTAGAAGAGACTGGAGGATGTATTGGTTGTTAGGAAAATGTAGGCTACCAGCAGAAAATGACATCCTCTATTAATAAGATCTAAGGTGCGACTCACATAATTGTCCTAATTTTTAAGATTGATGGGGAGCATGAAGCATTTCTTTAAAGTGTTGACAGGCCCCAATAAATGCATAAACTGCATAGGACTCATATGGTTTTAGAATGTGATTTTTAAAGAAGGTGGAGATCCCAGCTCACTGTATCATGTCTATGTGTATTTATGTATATATATGTCTGAATGTGTTTTATGGCTCTAGGAATTGTCTTTACAGAGAAGCTGAGCTGGACGAAGCAGACACCTTGATCTGAGTTAGCTAACTGACACGATGAAACTCTCAGGTATCTTTCTGCTCTTCTCTCTGGCTCTTTTCTGCTTTTTCTCAGGTAAGTTTTTTCTTAAAATTAATATCCCATATTTATACTGAACTGGATATGATGGGTGGTTTTTTTTATCATATTATAAAATCCTAATGATTTTGATGTAAAAGACCAATTCTGAGAGATTATCATAATGATGATAATGATTGCAATGACGACAATGATGACGGTAATAATTATAAAAATTACTGTGATTTGTTAAGCATATACTATATTTTAGGCATGTATTAAGGGATTTTAAGTATTGTCTCCAAGACTGAAAATAAGGTATTTGTGCCTCTGTTCTTCATATAAGAAACTGCGGAAGAGAGAAATTGAAAAAATTATCAGAAGACTTGCAACTAGTAGGTAGAATATGGAATTTGAATCAGATTTTCTTGGCATCACATTTGATGCTTGTTCCATAAACTAGACTGGAGGATGGATAATTGCATTAAATATTGGTTTTGCTTTCCAGAACAAAGGAATATTTTCCTCCCTTTAGTTATTATTAAAAAGAAATTCAAATAAGTAAAATTAAGACAATGGAGAAAATGAAAATGCAATGCAAAAATTTTTGAAAATATGTATTTGAACTTTAGAATGCAGAAATATATATGTTTGGGTGAACTAAATAATCTTCAAGAAGGAGAATATCCTTGGCTACTTTAGTGAGGTTCAAAGCACAATCATACTTGAAAGTCATGTTTCTCATGAGAGAACCATCTAAATGAGCAGGTCCATCATAAGCTATTTCTTTTCTTCCTTATTCTACTCTTTCATGTTGTAGTGGACAAAGCACATGCTAGTTTTTAGACCCAAGACCTAGTTTCATCTCTTCTATTAATGGCCTGTGTCACTTAAAGAAATATCATAATTCTCTGAGATATTGTCTCATTTGTGAAGTGCTAGAAATAAAACTAAGCCCTGGGACCTTCCATATCTTATGTAATATTTGCTGTGACAGTAGCACATGAATTTTACTACTATGTAAGATTTTAAATGGCTGCACTAGTAAAAAAAAAAAAATTCAATGAGATTTACCTAATAGAGAAGCCAATGTTCACTGTAGCTAGTCATAATTACATAAACAATACGCTGAGATACAAAAAAAAATGGATAAAGTACTTCTGTGATATTACAGAGTAAAATTGACGACTCAAGCTGAATAACCTTAATGAGTAGTTCAATCAATTTCTGAGATGGAAGAAAAATATAGATCTGACAATGTAAAGTTTAGTTGCAAAGATAGTCTCGGAGATCAATTGCTATTCCCTTTTCTTCTCTTTACAAAGATGAATTGATCTCTAACAGGATCCAGTTGACCAATACAATTTACCAAAGCACGGATGCTTCACAGATGTACAAAATAGTATTTGGGAGGCCATACTGCCTCCCAAATGTTGAAACAGAGTAAAGTGGATTTCAGTCTTGGCACTTACATTTTACAGCTTTGTGACCTTTCTGATCCTTATTTCACTCATATAGAAAATAAACATATAAAAGGACTATCTCTGTATGGAGAATTAAATGAGAAAAAGGCACATATAATGCTTAACATAGTGGATGAGGCATAGCACATGTTTAGCATATGTCTATTAACATTATTGCCATAATAAAGTTTAATAAAAAGAGTACTAAATTGGACTCCATCACTGTGAGTATTAATCCTGTTTTAGCGTTGCCATTTTCTACATATGAGACATTAGGTAAATCTCTCCTCTTCTGATGACAGATTTGTACAGTGGAAAATTGACTGAAAATTATAATAATAAATTGTCCCTAGCCATAAAAACCACTTAGAGTGTTTAAAAAATATAGATTGCCCAGGCACTCTCTGGTTTTATGTATAGAATTTTTATGTGATTGCCCTAAGAATTTGTAATTTTAATAATCACCCACATTACTAGTTATAAATCAATAAGATCGGTAATCACTGCTGAGAAAAATGAACCATACCTTCTTTCAAGTTAAAAAACAGCAACTTGGCAGGGAGTGGTGGCTCATGCCTGTAATTCCAGCATGTTGGGAGGCTGAGGCAGTGGATCACAAAGTCACGAGTTCGAGACCAGCCTGACCAATATGGTGAAACCCCGTCTCTACTAAAAATACAAAAATTATCCGGGCGTGGTGGCACATGCCTGCAATCCCACCTACTCAGGAGGCCGAGGCAGGAGAATTGCTTGACCCCAGGAGGCAGAGGTTGCGGTGAACTGAGCTCACACCATTGCACTCCAGCCTGGGCAACAGAGCCAGACTCCATCACAAAAAAGAAAAGAAAAGAAACTTGTTTTCTCCTTATCTTTATTATTAGAGATTGTGCTTTAAGAAATTTTCATTGGCCATCATTGGAGTTAGATTGCACTAATCCATACTCTCTCATTGCGGTGCCCCTGGGCTTAGACTTGAGAGTGACTGGGAAAGGAGTCCCATTGCAATGGCCACAGATCAAAATTAAGCAGCCCGTTCCAAGAATGGATTGAGAGTTTTTATTATTTCAGTATATTAAACCATGAAACTAACTAGTCACAATTTAAAATTACACATACAAATATTAAGAGGAAGGAAAAGGGAGAGAAACAAGACTATATATATGGGATCTTTTCTTATTTTAGGAATTTAGAGAGATGTAAAAGGAGAAATAAGTCTCAGGAAAGAATGAATTCTTTATTACTAGTTTACATTTGGGTCAAGACTTAAAAGCTGAGCAATTTCAAACTCAAAGAACAAACAAGTGTGATTTGTTTCCCAACTGCCTGTGGCAAAGGCTTTTGGGAGGAACTTCATGAAATGAACCTCGAAATGTCAAAGGTAGAGGATACTTTCCAATTCAACTCTCCAAAGTGAGACCAGAAGTGATAAGGTCATTTCCGTAGTAAATTAGTGACTGGGCCAGGACCATAACATGAATCTCCAGATCCTTAATCCATTTTTTTTTCTACCCCACCATAACCTCCACAATTGCTGCCTCCTCATGGTTCATGTCTTTACATGACCTCCTTAAGAAGTGAGCAGGAACAGAAAAATAAAACAACACACCATGACTTTTGAAAATGGCCAAGTACCAGGAGTAGATATTAGGAATTTCCTGAGGTTGTAAATTACATTTTTTTGCACATGAATTAATTACAGTGTTTGAATTTTGTGCTTTTTTTTCAGGTGTCTTCAGTCAAGGACGACAGGTCAGTGCCTATTTTTGTGTCCTCTTTTTACCTGGTGACTGGCTTGATCTTCACTGGCCAAAAAGAAATTTGTCTATGGGTAACAGTGCAAAAACAGTGAGCAAGCAAACCAAATGCAGACATCAGTAGAATTTATTAATTCTTTAAACTCTTTCCAGTTTAAAATAACCTAACCACACATTCTCATAATTTTTAAAAGAATAATAAATATAAATAAAAATAAGATATATCTGGGATAAAATTCATGCTCTCTCATTGATTTCACTGTGTGATCTTGGGCAAGTTACTCAATTTCTCTGAGCTGCAAGTTTCACAACTATTGAAAAGGGAAAATATTATTCACTTCATAGAATTGCAATTATATTTAAATTATGTAAACAATGTGAAAGTATTTGGCAAACCGTTAAAGGCTATTTGTGTATAAGTTATTGATTAAAAATCAACATTCTCTGAAGTTAGAATAAAGGCTATTATTTCTTTTTCAGAAATAGGAACTGAAAGTAGACAACAAATCAATTTATTGCTCTGTACTGAAAATACACAGGCTATTCATTCAAATTTTAATACTATTTGGTTTTAGTATTGGAATGACCACAAAGTATCTTCATCGTTGGGATTTTTCTGAATTAATTTACCAGTGTCTTTCTATCTTTTTCGTTTCAACTGTCAAATGCAATGTCAACGCAAATGCTATTTGTTCTGCTAATCCTGTTCCTTTGTCCATATTGAGCATTTCTACTTGGTCTTGGCACTAGTTCTAGTTTAGCCTTGGTTTGCCTTGTTGTACCTTTGATGTGACAATTTCTAGACAATACCGCTAACTGATTGGAGTTGGCAAAGCCATTGGAAATATTTTTCCAACCCTGATGTACTCACTGCATTATATAAGGCTGTTTGTTTTTTCAATTTTAGAATCTCAGAAATTAGGATGCATCTTACAAGTGATGATGCATTTGTGTGTGTGTGTGTGCGCGTGCATGCATGTGCACTTAGGTGTATGTCTGACATACGCACACATGTGTGTTTGCATTGTTGTATGAACTGTTTACCTTAAAGTTTAAATAAGCATGATAGTAGAGTCAATACTAAATGTGAAAGCAAACACATAAGAAAAGGGCATAAGATTCAGCCAACACACTTTATATCCCACTAGGTGGTAAAATATAGACCATTACTCATACAATTAAGAAATATGAAATTTAATCCTGGTTTCCCCAATCATACACAAGTTACTTCCATTCTTTGAACCTTGAGTTCTTAGATTTTTATGAGGGTTTTCTAAAGTTCATTTAAATTTTACTATTTACTGATTTTATGCTTAGATAGGCCAAAGGCTTATCGTTTGCTTGCTTTAGGATCACAGTGATTGCTTACTAAATATACAGATCCCCAGGCACCATGCAAGACATTGAATAATAATCAGAGATGTAAGGAGTTTGAGTCTGCAGTTTCAGTAATTATCCAGATGACATTTATACATTAAAAAACCTGACGCTGCGTTCCCAGAAAGCTGTGCGCGCTCCTCCCTTCCTCCGCGGTCTTCCGAGCAGTCGCGTGAACGGCTACCTGCAGCCTAGACATGGCGCTTCACGTTCCCAAGGCTCCGGGTTTTGCCCAGATGCTCAAGGAGGGAGCGAAAGTAAGAGCTGAAGGAAAGGAATGAGGTTATGTGGCTGAAGCTTACCAAAGAAAAGAAGAATGGTAAATTTCAGAGGAGGAGCTGTACAAGGGCCAGGACAGCACTTTTCAGGATTAGAAGAGGCTGTATATAGAAACATACAAGCTTGCAAGGAGCTTGCCCAAACTACTCGTACAGCGTATGGACCAAATGGAATGAACAAAATGGTTATCAACCACTTGGAGAAGTTGTTTGTGACAAATGATGCAGCGACTATTTTAAGAGAACTAGAAGTACAGCATCCTGCAGCAAAAATGATTGTAATGGCCTCTCATATGCAAGAACAAGAAGTTGGAGATGGCACAAACTTTGTTCTGGTATTTGCTGGAGCTCTTTTGGAATTAGCTGAAGAACTTCTGAGGATTGGCCTGTCAGTTTCAGAGGTCATAGAAGGTTATGAAATAGCCTGCAAAAAAGCCCATGAGATTCTTCCTAATTTGGTATGTTGTTCTGCAAAAAACCTTCGAGATGTTGATGAAGTCTCATCTCTACTTCGTACCTCCATAATGAGTAAACAATATGGTAATGAAGTATTTCTGGCCAAGCTTATTGCTCAAGCATGTGTATCTATTTTTCCTGATTCCGGCCATTTCAATGTTGATAACATCAGAGTTTGTAAAATTCTGGGCTCTGGTATCAGTTCCTCTTCAGTATTGCATGGCATGGTTTTTAAGAAGGAAACTGAAGGTGATGTAACATCTGTCAAAGATGCAAAAATAGCAGTGTACTCTTGTCCTTTCGACGGCATGATAACAGAAACTAAGGGAACAGTATTGATAAAGACTGCTGAAGAATTGATGAATTTTAGTAAGGGAGAAGAAAACCTCATGGATGCACAAGTCAAAGCTATTGCTGATACTGGTGCAAATGTCGTAGTAACAGGTGGCAAAGTGGCAGACATGGCTCTTCATTATGCAAACAAATACAATATCATGTTAGTGAGGCTAAACTCAAAATGGGATCTCCGAAGACTATGTAAAACAGTTGGTGCTACAGCTCTTCCTAGATTGACACCTCCTGTCCTTGAAGAAATGGGACACTGTGACAGTGTTTACCTCTCAGAAGTTGGAGATACTCAGGTGGTGGTTTTTAAGCATGAAAAGGAAGATGGTGCCATTTCTACCATAGTACTTCGAGGCTCTACAGACAATCTGATGGATGATATAGAAAGGGCAGTAGATGATGGTGTTAATACTTTCAAAGTTCTCACAAGGGATAAGCGTCTTGTACCCGGAGGTGGAGCAACAGAAATTGAGTTAGCCAAACAGATTACGTCATATGGAGAGACATGTCCTGGACTTGAACAGTATGCTATTAAGAAGTTCGCTGAGGCATTTGAAGCTATTCCCCGGGCACTGGCAGAAAACTCTGGAGTTAAGGCCAATGAAGTAATCTCTAAACTTTATGCAGTACATCAAGAAGGAAATAAAAACGTTGGATTAGATATTGAGGCTGAAGTACCTGCTGTAAAGGACATGTTGGAGGCTGGTATTCTAGATACTTACCTGGGAAAATACTGGGCTATCAAACTCGCCACTAATGCTGCAGTCACTGTACTTAGAGTGGATCAGATCATCATGGCAAAACCAGCTGGTGGGCCTAAGCCTCCAAGTGGGAAGAAAGACTGGGATGATGACCAAAATGATTGAAATTGGCATAATTTTTACTGTGAGTGAAAGCTGTATTTGTAGTAGTACTCTAGGAATCGCCTGATGTTTTCTTATTCTCCTTAAATTAAGAGGTGTTTTGTTTCTATTCTTGGCTGGATGTTATAATAAACATGTTGTTACTGTCAAAGCCTTATTGTCCACTGACCACTGTTATCTGCTCTAAATGACCATGTTCCTCCTCTCAACCGTGTTAATCACTTTAGCTGTGGGACTTAAATCACTTCAGTAAGTAAAGGCCTGCCTCCCATGTAAAAAAAAAAAAAAAAAAAAAAAAAAACCTGAGCATTTTTCTCTAGGTAAGAGGAGGCGAACTGTACTGGAAAGCATTGGCTCCGGAGTCAGATAATATAGATGAGTGGAGACTTAATTAATACTTATTTGTTGAGTATGTTGAAAAATGTTGCTTCACTTCTCATTGCCTTTGTTTCCACATCACTCAGATGAAGGTTTGAATTCAATGCTCTCTAAAACCCCTTCCTGCCCTGTCTGAATTGTTATCAACCAAGGCTTCTGTCTCCTGTTCACTCAAATATCAATGACAGGGAAGCTCCTACGCTTTTAGACGGTACCAAGGCTGCCATTTCTGTTTTGCATACCTGGAGGGAGGGTGGAAGTGTCAATGTCAGCAGAAGACACTGAAACTATCATTAGGAGCTTGCTTGCTCATTTCCCATCCAGCCAAGACAAAAGGAAGTAAGATTTCCTCCTACGCTCAAGTCATTCTTCTCATGCCAAGAATTCTCTTCCTGATGAGACATATGATGGGAAACTATAGCTTGCCATCTGAATTATGGACTTTAAAAAATATCACATTCATTTGAAAAGATTATTTGAGCTAGGCAAGATCATGTTGCCAGACTTTTGCAAATCATGTTCCAGTTAAATTTTCCCTGTAAATGTAAATGACTAATATGCTAACAACGCTTTAATTTGCCAGGGAGATGGATTACATAACACAGTAACAATAAGAGTAAAATAAAACTACTATTTATCATCACTGGCGTTTCATTAAGTAAATTGTTGTTTAGTATCAAAATGTTTAAAAGATATATTTTCAGAATAACATGAGTCCTTTGACTGAATACATTTTGCTTTTTGAATCACTTACTGTGTTGCCTTTAATATTTTTATATTTTCCTATCAGGCTCTGAATTTGGGACCTATACCTTTAAAGAGCTGTTTAGATGACTAGTCCAAATTGAAATGAACAGAACATGCCTTTTAAAAGCAATGACTGACAACCATTTTCTGTTACAATACTTTTCAGAATACTTAAGTTTATTTTTGCTTGTATTTTAAAATAAGAATTGGTGGGATTTTCATCCAATTGGTAAAACAATGTTCTGTGACTATAATGGGTTTGAAGTTTTTCATTTTTCCTAATTAGCTTGATTTTACTTAAAATATCTAAATACAATTTGGAAATGTTATCTAGTACCTATAACTTAATTACAAATTGAGAAACTAAAGCCTCCGAAACGAGGTCTAGTTGCCTTAAGTCTACCAACAGTAGTAAAGCTGTGAAGTCAACGCGTCGGGACTCCCCTGAGTCCATACGGAGCGAGCTTTCCATGGCCGCATAGTACCTTTAATCAGCAATAGAGAGACATTGTGTGGTGCATGTGAAAGAGCTTTGAGCAGTACAAGTTTTTAAGCAAATGTAAGGTAGTAATTCCTATTCTCACTTATTAAGCAATAATATGATAAGGACATTAGTTTCAAATAAGATAACATGTCCGCACACAGGAAGAATTTGAAATTAGGAGGAAAAGGAGGATGAGAGAATAAAACTCACTGTATTGGTTCAGACAAGCAATGTCGAGGACTGGTATAGGTAGTAAATTTGCAACTGGCAAACATAATGAGGTAAAGCAACACATAGAAGGTAACACAAGGGAAAATAAGTGGCAATGTTTCAATCTGAGGGAGGGTTGGAGAATTTGAAAAAATGCTGCTATCACGAAAAATGGAAAAAATGGATTACAAAATTAGTTTGGAAGGAAAGAGTTGTATTTTGCACATAAATGTCTTAAGTATAAATGACATTATTTTGTAAAAGGTATCATATCTATCTCTATAATAGATATAATATAATAGATAGATAGATAGCTATCCAACCATTGAAAGTTAGATTTTGAGATATTTATAAAAATCAGTTTAAAAAAAAAAAGTCTGGGATTATTCAGTGCCATATGGAAAAGTGTATGTCATTAGGAAGAGAAAACCAAGTGTATTAAACTATCTAGCAAATGACTACAATTAATACTCAGGAGGAAAAAAGTAAAAACAACAAGAAAGAGAAAAAACAGACAACCAGAGAACCAACATGCAATGAAAGTCTGGAAAGAGTTCCAAAAAGGCTGGAGTGATCAAGAGTAGCACATATCGTAAAGAAATCATGAAAGTTTTAAAACAACCAGTAGAGGTATTCTGTATTTTTGAGAGCAGTTTTAGTACAGTAGAAAGGGGAGGGAAATAAAGGTGAGGGGAAGCCAAGCTTGGCAGCAGTTAGGAAAACAGATATGGTAAAGAATGGAGATCATTTAACCACATAGGTAGTGTTTGTCGGTAATAGAAAGAAGAGATGTCATCCTCTATCCCAAATCCATGTTTGCATGATTGCAAATTTTCATTGGCTTTAAAATTTCCAGAAGCATTCTGCACCTTCTCCAACCCCTGGGGCCCACAGAGAGTGGTCCTCTCCTGCCCAGCCACCATGTTAAAATGTCTCACACACTGAATTTAGAGGGCTGTCTAAAATGAAATGAGGAAGTATTTGGGCAGAAGTTGCTATTTCTCTTCACCCAGCCAAAGGTAAGGACATAAGAGCTTTATTTAAAACACATCACTGAAAGTATTCATTGATAAATCTTGGACCACCAAAGCTGGAAAAGCCCCAGGATGCCATTTAATCTCATGGTGTTGACCATTTTGTATTAGTTACAGAGATCCTTTACAGCTACTGTAGCTAACATGGACCTGCAATAAGAAGGTTACTTTCTACACTCCTAATCCAGAACTATTTCAAATATTCTATCCTAACTCTCTACAGCTTTTATATGACCACATTTGATCCTTATAAAAACCTTGGGAATCTGAAAATAAGACATGAACAAGTGTTTTTTGCTTGTTGTTTTTTGGTTAAGAAAATTGAGGTGCAGGTATTGAAGTCCTTTGTTTAAGATAACACAGTCCATTGACTGAAAAAATGCTGTAATGTGTCCATTGGCAGAACAGGTTCTAAAATATGATTCTCAGCTTACTTCAGAGATCATCAAAGGCCACTAAAATTTATGAGTATGATTTGTATCTGTTCTATGTAAGTTTGTTCATATACCAGTTGATTGATTTTCTTTCATTTATTGAAATGCTTTGCTCTTCCTAGTCTTCTTCCAGGGGGCCGAGGAAGAAAATATTTGGGTATGGGGAGAAATATAGTGTCTAGAAACTCTGAAAGTGAATGCCTTTTTCAGGTTGCTCTTTCAAATTTACTTTCTAAAGGAAAAAAGAGACTGGATCACACATTAGATGCCTGATTGCCCAGGAAAAGTGTTTTAAGAAGGCATCTTTTTTTTATGTAAGAGACTTACTTGTTTCTGTTCTCCAGGGACTCTGGAAACACATATATTTTAATTGAGATGCCCCTTGCGCAGCTTCTAGATTGCCTGTGCTTGTCTCACTGTGACATTTATCATGCATTTTGTTGTAATTATCTATGTGCTTCTCTGCTTCCCTAATGCAGATAAGACACCGAGCTTATTGAGACAGTGTTCATAACTGATTTCTTTTTCTATGACCAGCACTCAGTACTGTCTTCCAGGTATTTGTTACCCATTGGGTGTTTGTGAAATAAAAAACAAAATCAGTGTTGATACTGTGGTTCACAGTATGTCTTGACACAAGCATAGAGTTGTAAATGTGTACATTAGGGACTTAAATTAAAAATTACATTGGCTTTTGAAAAAAAAAAGGTACCCTATGACATATAATTTTGTCAAAATTTTCCAGCCTTTTTTCCATTTGGAGATCTAATGGCAAGATTACTATTTTACAAGTAGTATGAGAGGATGGAGTTATCTTTCAGGGCATAGGGAAAACCGGGGACCATGAGATGGGGCTCTAAGGAGGCTAGATATCTTCTATCTATCAAAATCTTGACAAGCATTATGCCACCCAATCTCAATAGTATAAGATGTCATATTTCAACTAATATGTGTATTTCATAGTCTCAAATACCTTAAACATCATATATGTGGTAGTATTTCTTTAAACTTAATCGTATGATTTTTTTGCTGTAAGTTTTCTATGCAAACCTTTGGAGAACTGTGTCAGCATGTAATGGTTTGCTGACATCTCAAATGAGCGAGTCTTCTTGCCAATGTTCATATATTTCCTTAATTAATTATTTTTACAATAAACGTTTCTGTGCATATTTAAGGTATACGACATAATGTTATGGTATATACAAAATAGTAAAGGGTTACTGTAATGAAGCAAAATTACATGTCAAACATCTCACAGTTTCTCATTTTAAAAATATGGCAAAGGAAGGTAAAATATACTTATTTAGCATGAATCCTAAATACAGTACAATTTAACCTATAGTCCTCATGTGGTACATTAAACCTAGTAAGCATTTTAACACAGCTTACATGCTCTGACTGTAAGTGTGGTCAAGGGTACATAGTGATGATTGGACTTTAATTTTCTCAGTGAGGATGTAATAGAAATCAATCATAGTAAATTGTTGGAATTTCTGAAACAGCAATTAGAAGAGATATATTCAAGCACTGGTAAGCCATTTTATTCTCCTGAAGATCAATATTTTCACCTATTAACTGGTTAATGTAATATCACTAAAAAATATACTTCTCAGGGTTATTGCTAGGCTCAACTGAGATAATCTGTATGAAAGTAGCTTGAATATTATGAAGCAATTGATAAACACAAGGCAGTATCACTTTAATGGAACTAGAATAGAGATAAAACAAGTTTCCTTTCTCCATGTTTAAATGTCACTTCATTCCACACCTATATTTGGAGGAGTTCAGCTTAACCTATTGCATACTGTCGTTACTCTTGAAATAATGGCTCAAATGTCATTTGCACACCAAATATGGACTCAATTGACATTGTGCTGAAGACGATCTTAAAACTCCAAACTACTTTTGAAAAACAACTATAGTTTAAAGGATATGTTAGTGGCACAGATGCTGCCATTCCTACTATGGAGCCCATAATAATTATTAATAAGTCATAACATGTGTTCTCAACGATAGTGCAATCTTAGAATCATTTTAAACACAGAAACTTAGGCAGCCATTACTAAATGATTGTAGTGAGCCCAAAAGTTCAAATTACACAGACTCAAAAACAGGTTGAGGTAATAAAAAATGTATGCATATATGTATATTAGAGATAGAGTCTTGCTATGTTGCCCAGGCTAGTCTCAGACTCCTAGCCTCAAGACATCCTCCTGACTCAGCCTTCCAAGTCACTAAAATTATAGATACATCTAATGTCTTTTTATCATCTTACCCTGTTTTAGTGTATCCATATATATATACTTTACAGATAGAGCATACACACAGACACACAGACACACACACACATATACACTTTAGAGACAGAGTATATATATATATATATATATATATATATATATATATGTATACACACTATAGGGATATACTTTATATATAAATATATATCCATATCTATATATATACTTTAGAGATATATTTTACGTATATGGATATATAAAGTATATATATGTAGGTATATAAAGTATATATACTTTTGAGATATACTTTATATATATCCATATATGTATCCTAAATATATATATATATTAGTTTATGTGTATATACATAAACACATTAGAATTTTGTTTTCAAGAGCTAATGGGTGGATATTGCATTCACAGGGAAAAGTAACGAGCATCAGGTGATGTCTGGTGCCCTCGTAAGTTTCATCCATGTTTTGATAGCAATATGGAAGGAGTGCTGTTGGAGCACATTAATATGATTGTTAAAAAGTCATTTCATGACCAAAACCCACTCCCAATTGGAGCAGTTTAATGTTGGAGCAAAAAGTTTTACCCATATGGCATTTGACAACATCATTAATTTACTCCTGAATAGAATCTCTATTCCTTGTAATGAGTTTCCTGTGACTAAAAGAAAATGTCTCAATTATATTTAATGTATTCTACTTAGGTACATTAAATACTTAAGTAGGTAAGTAGAATACATTAGTTAAGGAGAGCTATTTTATATTTCAGAATACTTTATGTCACAACTGTTTGTGTATGATTTTTAAATTTTGCTGTCTAAAGTTTCCGTTCTGAAGGACAGCCTCTTAGAATGCACTGATGTCAATGTCACTCTGCTTACTTTGGTAGTTTGACTGTGGTGAGTTCCAGGACCCCAAGATCTACTGCACTCGGGAATCTAACCCACACTGTGGCTCTGATGGCCAGACATATGGCAATAAATGTGCCTTCTGTAAGGCCGTGGTGTAAGTATTATATTAATCAGAGCTAACTCTTGCAAACACAAGCTTCCAGAATAAGACTAAAATGCTTTTCTGAGGTATTCTAGAAATACCTCCCCACAGAGACTGAAGAAATAAGCTTCAGGCAATTTGATTGAAAACAGATGGGTGAAAAACAACAAAAAAATTACATGCTAAATTATTGGAAAACATAATCACTTTACTTTGTTATTAATTTTGATTGTCTTAGAGAAGTTTTTAAAACTGCTCTAAGACATATAATGTATACATCTTATACATTATAATTTATTATATTTAATAATGTCGATACATTTTAATGTTTTCATTTATTTCTAATTAAAATTTGCAATATCAATACATCATGAACATATGTCTACACTTATATGTAACACATCGGACTAATTAATACCAAACTTTACTCAAGAGAAAGTCAGTGGTATAATATAATATTCGAATTAATAGATGCATATTACTGAGAGGGCTTGAATGTATTGCTTGCTATGAAACGTCAAATGCCTGAATATCTGTTCAACTTCTTACATCTTTTTTAGAAAAGAACTACAGTCTCTTTAACATTATTTCTCCTGTGACTTCTACCTTTTTCAATTGTGTACATATTTACTCTTGGAGAATGAGTAATTGGTACCAAAAAGTCTAAGACTTATCAAAACTCTGAGATTCGTTTATGATTCATACTTTCCACACCTAAGCCAGATGTCACCTCTGAGTGCATTTAATTAACATCTTATGAATCATAGACATGGAATTTATAGAATCCAATAATTAAATTGACTGTTAAACCTGTTTCCAAAGTCTGTGGTGAATTCTTGCGATATTGCACTGAGTATATATTTGTCTTTCTTTTTTATAGGAAAAGTGGTGGGAAGATTAGCCTAAAGCATCCTGGAAAATGCTGAGTTAGAGCCAATGTTGCCTGGTGACTTGCCAGCTCTTGTGGCCTTCTTTTCTCACTTCTGCTTATACTTTTTCTGGTGGATCCCTTTAATTCATAAAGACATCCCTACTCTGCCTGGGTCTTGAGGAGTTCAATGCACGTCTATTTCTCTTGATTCACTTGCCAATAAAGTAAATTCTGCAAAAGCATTTACTGTGTTCTTACTTTGAGATCAAGAAAATATATACATACAATGTAGAATAATTGACCTGGGATAAGCTTGGATCAGGAAACCTATTTTCCTGATCTAGGTTAATCATCCAGTCACTGTGAGATCTTGGGAAAATCCCTTTCTTTCTTTTATTCTTAGAATTTGCATGTTTATAATGAAGGATTTTGGCTACATGACCGTATGTTACACTTAAAGTTACTTTAAAAATCTATCATTTATTAGATCACATATTTATTCTTTCCAATTTCAGAAAAAAACATTTTATATAAAAGTAAAAGCATTTGCTCTCTACAGACTGTAGTTCCTTTAATGCATCTGGAATGGAAAATTTGGATTATATAATATCAAAAAATATGTAGTATTTGGTTTTTTATAATAGCGGTATAAGGCTTACCAGACAGAAGTAACAAAATATACAACAAATGGTAAATATTCAGTAAAATCAGTCACTTGCCAATAAACACCTCCAGTTAAAAGAAGACTGAAGGTTAAAGCACAGCTCTGCTGTTAACAAGTTCAACCTCTATGTGGCTGCCTCAACCCTATGAAGATCCGCAGTTTGACACATATATATCTCATTCTGAACATTCATGTAGAAGTATTGAGAACTCTTTCTTTGAGTATTTTCGTGTAGTAAAGCCTGCTTTCATAAATAACACCTTACTGGGGAAACTCAGACAGAATACATCTCTAGCTGCAATGCCCAGCAACAAACATTGGTGGGACCTACTCTGGTAGATAGACTCTGTTCTAGGTGCCTGGGATACAGTGTGGATGGGAGTGAGAAGGGCCAATGACCCTTCAAAACTTAATGCGGCTTAGATTCCAGCAGGAAGAAACAGAATAAAACAATAAGTATAATAATAAATGGCACAACAAGATAGAAGGTGATAAAGGCTAACAGAAAAAAATAAGCAGAATATATTGATATGGATTAAAAATGCCTAGGGGCCGGGCACGGTGGCTCACACCTGTAATCCCAGCACTTTGGGAGGCTGAGGCGGGTGGATCACGAGGTCAAGAGATCGAGACCATCCTGGTCAACATGGTGAAACCCCGTCTGTACTAAAAATACAAAACATTGGCTGGGCATGGTGGCACGTGCCTGTAATCCCAGCTACTCAGGAGGCTGAGGCAGGAGAATTGCCTGAACACAGGAGGCGGAGGTTGCCGTGAGCCAAGATCGCGCCATTGCACTCCAGCCTGCTGGGTAACAAGAGCAAAACTCCGCCTAAAAAAAAAAAAAAAAAAAAAAAAAAAAAAAAAAAATGCCTAGAGATGGTAACCATTTGCAGTACTAAATCAGTTGGTTCCAGTAGTTTTTATTGGAAGACCTAGAGATGAAGAAATTGGCCAAGTAAATAAATTGGAGAAGAGTAAAAGGAGAAGCTAAAAAATTGCCATTAAGATGGTGGAGCATGCCTGTTTTGTTCAAGGTTTAGTAAGAAGGCATTGGTGACTGAAGAGAATGACGAAATAGGCAAATAATAGAAGATGTCAAAGAGGAATGATCCTGATTCATGAAAGACTTTGTAGCTATTACTAATATTTTTTCTTTTACCTTGATGCATAAAATGTGTTTCTAACAATGAATATTAAGATTACATTTCTGGTTTTAAAATCTCAGATATATTTTATGCACATAAATGTTACCCCTAATTGCACATAATTAAAGAAGACTGACCTGGCCAGACTGAGAGTTGTATCCACTATCTAGATAAAGAGCCAGAAAATAGATTAGATTATGCCAGGAAAGCTATATGAGCATTCTGTTCCACGATTAAAGATTATTCCCCTTGATGGATAAAAATTAAGACATAATGTATTCTTTGGGTACAGCATTGATAAGAGAGGGCATCCTCAAGGCACACAGACCAGAATGTGAATCACGGCTCTGATGTAAGTTATGTACCTTTGAGCAAGTCATTTAGACTTCCTTGTATCATTATTTCTTCATCTGAAAAATAAAGATAATAGTATCTACCTCCTCATTGTATAGTGAAGACTGAGGATACAATGCATGTAAAGCACTTAATCACTAATATATAACAAAAGCCGAGAAGTTAGTAGCTGTTATTATTAAGCTCTGTCATCAGTTTCAGCATTATATTGTCTTCACCAATCAGGATATTTGTGTTCTATTACCCAGTCTGAAAATGTGTGTCTTTATATTTACAACTTTTGGAAATCCTCATCTCAGCTGTTTGTCTCCACCCTCCCTGCTCTGCATGTAGACTAAATTCCATGCTCATTAGAAGAAGCCCAATTCTCTTCCTTAGTTTCTACTCCCTGAAACAAATTAGCTACTTCTAATGTAAACATGTAGAAAATTATGTATAGTTTGATGCCACTGTGCACTGGTGAAAGTACTTTTATTTTTTTAGGCAAGGTCTCACTCTGTCACCCAAGCTGGAGTGCAGTAGTGAGATCTCAGCACACCGCAACCTCCACCTACCTGCTTCAAGCCATTCTCGTGCCTCAGCCTCCCAAGTAGCTGAGACTACAGGCACCCACCACCACCCCCAGCTCATTTTTTCTATTTTTAATAGAGACGGAGTTTCACCCTGTTGGCCAGGCTGGTCTCAAACTACTGGCCTCAAGTAACCCTTTCTTGGCCTTCCTAAGTGCTGGGTTTACAGGCATGAGCCAACATGTAGGGCCTTGGTGAAAGTAGTTATATCTCCTATTGGAACCCTCCCCCCTGGTCAGACCAGATTTCTATCAGTTATCCTCCACACAAAAGGTTCAGTTTCACCACTGTGTCTTTGCCTGTCTGAAATGTCTCTTGTGACATCTTCTGCCACACTGCCTAACTGTTCTTTTCTCATGCAAATCTCTAATGTGAATCTTAATTGCACCATTTATTTTAAGGCATACGTCAGGGACTATATCTGAAAATTGTCATAAACTATCCCTTGTCTAGTTCTGAGCTATTCTTTTGAAATGAAGAGAAAGCATAGAAGACTAAACCACGGAAGACTAGATGACATACATTTCTTAGAAGAAGAAGCAAGTCACATAAAAAAGAAGTCAACAGTCAAAATATAGGGATTTGGGCTACAGAGATATGCACATTTTCAAACCTCAGTAAACACACACTTATGATTTATACATATTGTAGTTTGCACACTTTATACCAAAAAGACAATAAACATTTAATAAAGTACTATGACATATACAATGAAGTTTTTAAAGGAAGATCCTGATGTCTGCAATTTACTTTGAATGGCACTATAGATGGATTAATGGATAGACAGAGGGATAGATATGTGACAATATATATGTGGAATGCCAAAAAACAAGTTGAATAAATAGAAACTGTAGAATGGTAGCTATAAGGGTTAGAGATGGGAGGAAATGGGAAACTGTAGCTAAAGGGTCCACATTTGTAGTTAGGTAGAATGAATAAGTAGAGAAACGTAATGTATAGCATAAGGACTACACTTAATAACTTTGTATCATATGTTGAAAATTTGCTAAGAGAATAGATTTTGGGTGCTCTTCATACACATATATATAGGAAGCTATGGAAAGTGATGAACACATAAATTTGTGTGTAGTAATCATTTCATTATGTATGTGTATATTAAAAGATGTATATCTTACCCACATGAAATAAAATAAATTAAAAAACAAGTGTGATACAACAGTAATGTTAAAATCTAGGCTTACAGGTGTTCACTGTAAAATTCTTTTAACATCGCTATATATTTGAAAATTTTTATTAAAAAACATTTTCTTAAATGGCAAAACACTTACAGAGAGATTCTGTAAACAATTGTTTATGTTCCTCATTTTTGTGATACCCAGGACAAAACATGCTGTTTCACGTATGGTTTGTATTCAAACTTCAAAGCATAAAAAGATAATTTATTTAAACTCAACATCCATATTCATTATTATACCTTCAGATGACAGTGGGAGCATTGTGAAAATTGAGTCATACCAAAACTTTACCATTAACCGTCCTTAATTCTCCACTGCAGTTGATGCCAAGACAAATCCTTCTTATCTCTTCTTCTCTTGCTGGTTTTTGAAGGTAAATTCATGACAAAAATGATGTTGTATGTCAATGAGTAGGCTTGACTGAAAGGGGTTTTCTGGACTCTGCCTGCCTGTCTATGACAATGTTAAGATTTTTTGAAGTAAAATACACACACATGCACACACTCACACACACACACACACACACACACACACACACACACACAGAGTTTAAAAGGGCACAACATGAAAAAAAAGGTCACAGGAAAAAATAACTAAGATAAACATTGAAATGACTTATCACTATATGGTCAACTAATCCGTTTACTCAGTATAGCACACATAAATTGCCACATTTAAATTTAGTAATACTTGTGAACTTTTAGCTCCATTTTTTAAAAGAGGTACCTGAGGTATCAATATTTAAATGATATGTCCATGACCATATAGTTAGTGTGTTGTAAAGTCTGAATTTAAATTTAAGATAGTATCAATCACATTTTCTAAACTAGATACCACAAAATTATGATAAATTGATTGACTTGGATGCAGATGTTGGACAGATTAATCTTATATAATTGGCGACATCAGAAATAGAAGTATTTAAAGTATTAAAGCATCAGAGCCTTAAGTGAATGTTTAAAGAGGGTAACATGTATCAGCCATAATTTCCAATATGTGCATTATTATGTTAATTTTGCGATGGGATTACTGTTTAATCCTGAGAAGGCCTGTGTTAAAATGGACTAACTTTCAATTGGACATCTAATGAGTTACTTTTTTCTTTCTTGGACTTTCTTTTTTTTTTTTTTTTTTTTTTAGCTTTAGCACCAGTAACTTTTAAAAATGTTAGTTCAGTTCAGTTCTGTAGTTTGAGTAAAGGGAGGTATAGGCAAAACAGATTTCCCTTACTTTAGCTGAAGGAGATTTAGTGCTAATAAAAACTGGTACCCTTAATGGCCCAGTTTAGCTCACTACAGCTACCCATTTACA